ATTAACGCTGGCGTTCGTATATACATACATTTATATATATATTATAATAATGATAATAATAATAAATGAGTGCGATATGATAACGCGAAAAAGACGCGTCGGTGGAGTGAGTAGTATCTGCAGCTTTGGAGGAAGGTGAAGATGTCTTATCATGGGGTGTCGTATAATTAAAACCGAGCGGCAAAAGGGCTATATATCCGCTTTGCGCGCTTGTGTGTGTATACGGTAGGTAGTGCTCCTGTTGCAGTTTAAGTATATATCCGCACCAACGGGGTGAGTTGAGGTACGCACACATACACATATACGTATTTATATAATGTGTACATAATAATATGCTCTCTCTTGGCTGCCGCCATCTTTGGCGCGCGCATTGATTAAGCAACCCCCGAACGCAAACTGCCGGCGGTTTAATTAATTTAATTTTACAGGTACCTATATAATAATATATACCAACGCAATAAACCTTTCTTCAACAAAGCATAAACACCAAAATGTATAATACGCGTGCACTGCGCTGTGCGTATATTATATATTACGTGACAGAGCATTATATTATATTAATATATATATATAACCCACTATCTATATTACGTTTAGCATTACAGATGCATCGGTGGTATATAATCTATACACAGCATGCATACTTTATTACAAACATAAGGATACGTTATATGCGGTACCTATATTGCAGTGAGACCGAATGAAAAGAAACCGCGGGAACATTTCTAAAGTTGTGAAACCGACACCACATCACCTATATTGAAACGCTTACACGTTTTATTTTTATTTTTATTTTATATGAGTTGGATAGGTATAATACAGACGTTTATTGCTCTATTTTGGACTGATAAATCCAATGTATTGGGAAAAAAAAACTATTTTACTCGTAATATTTGAGTATTTCTTCTCTTATTATGTGATAAATGGTAAATTACTATCAACTGATAACGAAATACATGTAAAAATACTTACCATGCATTATGCATAGGTTTCAATATTTAAAAATTGAAAATACTGGCGAATACAATATTACCGAAACGAAAACCACAGCATATAATATATTTTTTATTTTAATAAACCAAAACTTTCAAAAGTTAAAACTATACAAGTTTTCACTTGATTAACCATTTTTCGAGACGATGTATCGTTGTTTAAAACCAGTAAAATAGGCGTGGAAATTTGGAATATATATCTCGAGAGTATAGTTGATTTGGTTTGTTAGTACAGGGCCAAAGTCTTAAGCAAAACAATCTAAATAAAAATTATTAGCATTTGGTGAACCACGATTCCTCTCGACTTTGAGGGTTTTTCTGTTTAAATAAGTGTTTACAAAATATATTGTTGAATTAGTAGTATTATTTATGTAACACATAAAAATATATCGTTTTTTTAAATATTATTTAATGAGTAATTTTTAGCGACATTAACTTATTTTTTTAAAAAAATCATTTACCTCCAACTTTTATTAGAAATCGTTAATCTTATAATTTTTGTTAAAATTTGTTTATCGAAAATGAAATTAGAATGAATAATTTCTTGATTATTTAATAGGGCGCGAATTTCAATACAAAGATTATTATTTTTTGTACTCTAAGATAATGAATTCCAAGTACATAATTCGTTTTACGTAAAGAATACTTCTAAAGTGAAACTGTTATTCTGCATTTTTTTCTTAATTTTTTGATGTTTTTCATTTTATCATGTTATTTTTTAGATAATTTTTCAAAAGTTTTTAGGGCATTTAAATATAATATACTCTTATTCACATTTGAATAAATTATCAAATGTAAATACTTTAATATTAATTAGTAATATATAATACTTTAAATATTTTGTTATGGATTGTTCTCCTTATAATAGGTAGGTACATGCAGTTAGATAACTATTTTAAAATTTAATTTATAGCTATAGATTATTATTTAAAATATAATCGTCTCTTTAAAAATGTACAGTAAAAAAAAACGAACGGTTTGCATTAGAATAGAAGATTTGTATTTATGAAGATATGGATTGAGTTTGCATAAAAATTCTAAAATCAGAATTTGAATAGATTTAATCCACTAAAAAAAAAATAAACAGTGAGCATAATGATCATGCTTCGTAAAACATCTTGTATATACGTAAAAATATATTCAATTCATTAATCAATTCTAATTTTTTAATATACTATATTATACTTTATTCATTTAAATAATAAAGGTTTCGGAGTAACGGTATCAATTAGTTCAGTCTCTCTAAATAAATTTACTAAACTTCGCTTATAAACTTAAAACTTGTTCTTGTTTGTTATAATTAAAACAAAGTATAGCTGTATCAATAATTTAGGTAAGAAGGGTTTTTTTAATAAATGGATTTTTTATCGAATCACAGAATATACTCATCGTATATATACCGTAATAAACAGATATCATATTGTATAATGTACAATGTTATAAAGCATATTTTATTCTTATTAATAAACTTATATATTTCAAAACAGTTAAAAATTATTTTTTTTATGTCATTGTATAATTTATATTATAGACGATCATCGGGTGTTGCAGAATGCAGATACATATTAGCGTAGAATAGAAATTTTCTATTATTTTAATACTAAAATGTTTTTGTTTTTTTTTTTTTTTGTGAAATTATATTGCAGTAAAAAGAGTAAATACCAACAATTATTGACAAATATATTGATAAACCGTTATTCATTTGTGTGTGATATATTTTTCATAGCACGTACATTTGGAATTACGAATACGCAATTAGCCCATGTGCGGTGTGTATATAAATTTAATTATACAAATTTAGTAGTATTTGCAAGTACATTTAGTCGACACAGCGTATATAATCAACAACGCATGCAGTTAATTGGGTTGCAGTTTCGGATGAATTGGCGTTCAAACTGTTTTATTTATTTTCCGATTGTTATATCCAAACGAATTCCACTTTTGTAGATTATTACTGTAATTTCAAAGTATAAATAATTTAATGAACCTGCTGATTGAATTATAACAATATAAAAATCAATATTGGTTATTAGGAAGTGTATATTTTGATATACATGTAACTATTGTACCTACTTAATACTATATTATAAAATTAACTGTATATATTATGTAGGTAATGCTTAAGTTTACCTGACATAAACCGTATTTATTAGGTATAATTCCTATTTTTGTTTTTAAACTTAATTTAATACACCATACACATGATGATAATATTTAAGTAAAGACTCTATAACACTCCTTGTGAACAAGTAAATCGATGTGCTATCATAATAAATAATAATAAAAAACTTAAATTAACTTTGATATTATCATTGATTATGATAAAAAATCGTATTCATTGAAATTGAACAAAAGAGATCAAAGTCTAAGGGAATATCCACGAGATTACCGTGATTCATACATGTCAATATAATTATGCAATTATGTATAGCAATAATATTAAACTAATTCTATGAGAATTGAAGTACCTACTTATTTGTTGTCTTACGTATATTAATTCAATTCTAATTTAAAAATATGTTTATATTTACGGTTACAGGTTTCGATTTTCTACGCAATGTACCATAAATCAGCCGACATCGGTTAGTGAAATGAAAAAAATTCTAAACAAGCTGGTCCATCACAATTTACAGACAGACTGGAATTTCGGAAAAAGAAGAATTTCTCTAGATTAGTATTTAGTTTTCGACTAATGTACTTGTAACTACTGATACCAAATATCAGTAAACATCTAGTACTATTGGAACTTCAGTTCTCAACAAGATTGAAAAAATTAAACGGCATAGCTGTGTATAGTCAAAATAAAACATTATAATGTATCATAATACTGCTGCGCAGAACGTATAATAATATGATCTATCAAGATGTCAAAAGTGTGTTGCACGAGACTAAAATAAATGTATATAACCACTCGAAAAATCAAATCCCAATATGGATCGAAACGTGTAGGCATAACGTGCAACGAGAACGATCGAAAACAACAGTACAAAACGTATACTCGTCATGCACATGACGGTGATGGTAAGAATAATTTATTATATTAAAATCTGTAACGTTATCGCGGTCAACGTATTATAACTGTGCCCCGGACGCGGGGCGGCGGGGAGCTATTTTTCGTACAACTATTATTACGGTCGCAATCGTCGAAATGGCAATACCGAAATCGAACCATCCCATTCGGCCGCGGACGTACATCAATCACCGCCGCCGCGCCGGGCGTACATATTATTGCACGGCGCTGGCGCGTGAACCTCGCGGGACCAACCGGATGCGGTCGGTTGGCTCGGAGGATATTGTGTTGTCGCGCGCACACCGGATGTAAAATAATATATACATATCGTTAGGCCGACGACTTTACTTGTCCGCATATATAACGTTCGCGGAAACGGGCACGGCATGATAATATATTATTGTAAACGCGCGTGCAAGTCTCGTGTACGCGTCGCGTAGGTATGCGTATCTGTATGTATGTAGGTGCGGTGTCGGCGTACGGCAAAGGTTCGCCGGCGGCGGTGCAAAAGCGTGCGTGAGCGGTGGCGGTGTATAAAGAGCGAGAGTGACAAATTCGTTTCGCCCCGACACGGTCGGCCCGGCGCGGCGTACGGAGCGGGGCCGAGGCGGCGGCGGCGATCATTTGTCGATAATGAATTGGGCCCCTCCGATCCGCATCGCACTTAATAAATAAACCGCCGTCGCGGGCGCCGCCCATACGCCCAATGGCCGTCCGTTAAATCGTACGGCCCCCCGACGGGGGAAAATATCCCGACCACCCCTGCGCGATCGTCACCCCGGCAACCGCGAACGGTTAGGGGACGGACGTTTGGCGCGTCACCCACACACATTACATACGTATATACATACTTATATATACAATACCAAAATTTGTATATATACGGTGTATATATATTTAAATAGGAATCTCTGTCTACATAAATATGTGTGTGTGTGTTTTATACATAAAACGCTTCGATATATAATATATATATATATATATGTACATATATCGCGGTAAGGGCGCGCGCGCACATACACACAGACACACACACACACGTACAAACACGCATAAGCATTATATTCCGATTGAGTGTCGATAACTGAGTGGGGGGCGGGGGCACAGAGGGTGGAAATGGTGTGCGCAATCGCCCCGTAATCGAGTGATAACGCGTTACCGCTGCCGCCGCATGGACCAGTTGAAGAGATTCGCGTTTTCGTCGCCCGCTCTGCTGCTGCTGCTGCTCCTGCTGCACGCCGCGGCCGCGCCGTTCCCTGTTCGGCACAGACCCGTATAGTACACGCAGACCGTTCTGTCGCCGTCGCGCCCTCAACCACAACGCACCGCCGCCGACGCACTGTATAGCTGCTGTTCCGGGCCGCCGCCGATGGACTCGCGAGCGTCTTCGCTGTCGCCGGTGATCGACCCGGACGACTCGAGATCGCCTCCCGGATCACCTGTACCGCCGCCGCAGCAGCCGATGACGCTCCTGCAGTCCCGCCAAACCGCCGTCGGACACGTTCGCGGCCACAGCAACAACAACAACAACAACAACAACAATAACAATCACAACGTTAACAACAACAACATCGATGACGACGACGACGACGACGACGGCGGAGATCGACAATCGTCCGGCGCGACCGCGAAATCGCCGCATGCACGCGCGCCGCCCTCGCCGTCGGACCATCACCGGGCGCTGATCGCCGGAATCACTGCCGCCGCAGCCGCAGCCGCCGCAGGTATGTGCCACGACACTGCGGTCCCGTTTGATCGTAACACATAATATTATAGTCATAATTGTATAGCACTGACGATTCGTTTGCACGCGTATTTTATTCGTATTGTTCAGTCTTAAATTTTAATGCTATAGGTATGTATATTGTTATCGAACGATAACACAAGACTTGTCCGCTAAAATTGTAAATAATTATAACGTCACGCTAGCTGATTATCCCGTGACGACGACGTTTTCCGTCGCGAATTCAATACCCGCCGCCGACTTATCCCTTCTTAAACTTTTTTATTAAGACATGTGAACCGCGCGGATGGTTAAAGTAAACTCCATTTACACACGCGGATCTCGCTGAATCTATTGACGAAAATGCTATGAAAATCTTTCAAAAACCGCGAATTTGCATAAGAATGCTTTAGACCTTTGTTTTTATGTGGTTGATATATTTATAAATAATTATTGCTAATGCTACACGCGACTTACGCGGCGTTGCTAACTAGTCGTAATCAATGAAATAATGCCTGTGGATTTACTTAAAATTTGTTTAATGCAAACTTCACAAATATTTGACATAGTCACTAGAATGGTTTTAACTAAGTTTAAAATGTTGGTCTAAAGTTATATACGACTATAATGACTATTTTATTTTACATAACCTACAACAACCATATACAAACAATACAATTTGTTTTTCGTGAACTAACAAGTCACTGTGTGAACCATTCTTTAAACTGAAAAATCTAATTGTTTCGAAGCCAAATACTCATCCTCGAGTATATGGTTACCTAAATTCAAAGACCATGGTCCATGAGTGCGATATACTTGGCTATGGATCACTTACATACCCACGCAAACATTACCTTTTATTAATATAAACTAAGTATCTACGTGGTTTTTTTACAAAAAATCTGTCCTCTGAAATTTGATATATTATGATATAATATTATATTATAATCATTAAATGACATTGTACAACCTTTAACGACTTCGATTGGTATTGGTTGATTTTCAATAACACTTGGGAAGACAACACTTAGAAATTTACGAAATCAAAATAAATTTCGTGTAATCGATGTAACTATATAGACCTTTAAAAAATGGACTGCAGATAACAGAAGTCCAGGAGCAAGACATTGTTATAAAAAAATGATACGTGAAATATATAACTTGAGATTATAATATATGTACGAAAAAGAGAAAAGAGTTCAATAGCAAAGATAACGACATTTTTTAGAAAAAATTAGCGTACACTTAAGGTCTCATCATATCCGCAATCTTTCCAATAATGTTGGTTCTTGGCAACTAATAGCAGAGTTTGGGTAATGCGTAATCCATAAGTTAATATGTCTATAAATTTAACTGTGTGTAACAGAACTGCAGAACTTTATTAATTTAATATAACAGTTTAATACAATTGCGCGTTAAAACTGTACATGGTAATTTTTCGTTAACATAAATTTTTTACGGTCAGTAACGTTATCGTTTTTTTGACAAAAATTTAATCGACTAATATTGTTATTAAATTCATTAGAAATAGATCCAAACCTATCCCGATGAATAAAAAATGTTGAACTTCAATGCAGAAGTTCAATCATCCACTAAAGAAAATTCCAAACACACTCTTTTTAGATGAATTAATGAAGATAATTTTAATGGAATTTTGAGAAAAATTAAAATCTTAAATCTTAAAATAAAATTAGATACTATAATACAGTTAATTATTTACAAGTGGTAATACTAGATCATTTTAATAAAAAAATAGTTTTGCTCGGGAAAGAACCTTTTCAAGTTTTTAATACCATTTAAAAAAAAAAAAATTTCAATCTTAAATAATTTTTTTGTAAAAGAGATTATAATAAAATAAAAAACAGAATTCATTTTATGGCAACGATTTGATTTTTTAACTATAACTATTGGCCTAATGGTTTTTTTTTGTTTAAATATGTTTAAAGTTTTAACAAACAAATTAAATAGAAAATGACGTATTGCGTCGTATTCAGTAATTAAGTCATTTAAACATTAAAATCATTAAAATTTAATTATTAATAATTAATACCTTTACAAATTTAATGTTACATTATAATATACCCAATAATTGCAATATAATTATAATAACTATAATAATAAAAGTTAAGATAACTTTATAATGTACTATTATATTATTAAGATGTATAAAAATGATACTTTTAAATTAAATATTATTTCATTTCCGTAAAAATGCATATTTTAAAGCTCTATAATTCCAGCAAGCTTTATTAATAAATAATTATATAATAAATTTGTATAAATAAAACATTAATCAGGATTTAAAAGCAATAATCTTCGGTTATATTCTATTTATAGCACTATGGCTAATTTTCGATAAAATATTATGATTGTATACATATTTAATAAAATTATAAGTTAAAAAAATATGAACAATTATGTAATAAACTTGTAACATATCGTAATAAGTCAATGGTGGAATAGTATAAAATAAATAGTACATAATATTCAACCCTTGTAATGTCATATAAAAGTCACAGTAACTGTGAGTTATAAAATCGTACGATTTAAATTTTAAATTGTATACCGCCATTTTCGAACAGTAAATTATTAAATAGGTAATAAGATTAGATAGATAGGTATAGCATTAAAAATATGATCATGTTGTCTTTTTTAAACATAAACATTATATAAAAGGGTCAATTTTACTACTAGATAATCTTATTCCGATTATTTCAACACACGCAAATATAAATATTGATTTAAATATTCAAATATTTTATAAATACCTGATTATTTGTTTCAAATATAATTAATAAACACTAATATTGTGGCCCATAAGTAATACAAAAATATAAATGAATTAATAAAAATTTACATAATCATGTGCACGATCTTGTTTATTGCAAGGTAAGATTTTATTTAAGATATAATTAATAATTTATATTTATGTTTATTTTATAGTCTTTATGTATATATCTATTATTCTTTAAAAAATATCTTGTTAAATTTTTATTTTTTAATGTGGTTTTATAGGTACAACTTTCGACTGTACATACAATAAGATATATTTTTTGTTACCTTCAAATTCGATCAGATTGTGACTATATATCATATAGTACTTAATTTTATCAAAAAATATTATTCCATTCGAATTTTACAATACATAATACATTTTTATTATCTAATACCACCAATAAATGCTGAACAAAACAATTCTATGAACTATGATTAACTGATGTACCTAAGACTAATATCTTCTATCGTTGATACATTTTAATAAATATTATTCATTGAATCGATTAATGCTAAAAGATTTATTTAATTTTAAAATAAATTAAATTTGAAATTTGGTTAGTTAATGAAGTTTCATATTCCATGATTATAAATTCAATCACTGTGCAATATGCATATAATTATAAAATTAGATTCTGCTATATTTTTATTAATTACCTATTATAAATGATCTAACATTCATTCACATAATCTTATATGTATTTAGCAATTCAACTAATATAAATATATTTTTTTAAATTTACAAATTATAAATTATAGATAATATACAATATACAATTATTTTATAAAATTTCCCATTTCAATAAATTTTACTAAATGCATACAGAACATTTTAATCATTACAAAACTATTACTAATCAAAATTCAGTTAACACAGTATTATTTTATTAAGTATAAGTGTTCGTGATTTCACAAAATCTTTACAATTTTCATTATAAATAAAATATTTAAAACAGATAAAAATCAGTATGTTACGAGTTATTACAATTTATAGTAATATAAATATTATTTTTTAAGCTTTTTTTACTACGAGTGTTAATAGATATTTTTTTTTTAAAAAATAAAAATTTTAAATGTTTATAAATAGTTTAAAAGAAATCAAAATATTTTTAAATATATCATAAATAGAAAATATTAATATAAATATATTATATATCTACAGTAATACGTTTTTGAATGAAAACAAATTAAGGAAATTAATTTAGTGTAAAATTGTCTAAATCAATTTGTTATTTATACTATATAACACTATACATATTAAAAATATTTATAAAATATGTACTTAATTTATTAATTTATTTTTACATTGTATATTGTATTATTTTAATAGTGATTATTATTTATGTTTATGTAAAATCGTACATAAGTATACTTTGATAAGTATCTCCTATTTTAAAATTGAATCATAACGAATAAAACATAGCGATAGTAATAAGTAAAACCAAAATTATTAAGTTTTAATGTTTTAGAACTAGCCAACCGAGGCTGCTAAAATTAATTTAGCCCTCCTCCCCTAAGTTGCATCAATGACTTTTGACTATATTATATACACGTAAATACGTCAATAGATATGAACTATTAAAAAGTGTTAAAATCTATAACCAACAAACATACATCATAAATAATTTAAATTTTAATATACGTATTAGTCTTAATTTATACTACACTTTTACATAAGTTTTCTTCCTACAATATTAGAAACAAACATATTTTATCCAATCAAATACTGTAATAATTATTTGTAACATATATACTGTAATAAAATCAATTCATAGCTCATATGAACCATTAATATGGAATTATGACAACTGTAAATGGTTTATAACGTAATATATAATATATATGTATGTATAATGTATATATATTATGTAGCTGCTAAGCTACTGTATCTTGTAAAATCCGTTTGTTTAGTTTTATCTGCAGATAATCTGACCAGTATAAATGTGCTATTATTATTTTCATTCCTTAGCGGTAAATATCAACCGAAATGTTGTGTCGGTTCGGTAATAATAATAATAATAATAAAAAAAATTTAATAATGGGAATGTATTTTTATTTTTATTCTTGTTTTTATTATTTTTTTTTAAAAAAAAAGGGGGGAATCGCGTTCAGTCGTACCTATATATAAATAAAAGTTGTTTTGGTCGGTGAGGGTGATTGAGTGCGCTGCGTCCACCGAATTTCATTAGAACCGTATATATAGTTTTGCCAGTGAGCGGCAAAAAT